TTGGGGGAGCAATTTTCACGTGACTGTACACCGTCGACAAGAGACGTTTTGCAACGGGAAGTGTGACGTCTATCGGACGCATTCCAATGGTTCGATGTCTACGACGATTATAATCTGACAGTAGACGCGACAATTCGTCGATCCATTTGTACGCGCCGTTCAACGTGAATACTTTCCACATGTTATTTTTGAGAGTACGGTTGAATCGTTCCACTACCGACGCTTTCATTACCGAATACGTCGAATAGTGATTTACGTTGTATTTCTGCAAAAGTTTCTGCACAGTGGCGTTGTAGAATTCCTTTCCTTGATCCGTCTGTAGATTCCTCGGATATCGTTTGTCCTCGCGAAATATTTTGGAGAACGCCGCGGTCACGTCGCTTCCGCTCTTGGTCTTGAGTGGTAATGCCCACGCGTACTTACTCAAAACATCGATAACAGTTAAAATGTAGTTACAACCTTTATTCAATCTCGCGTAAGGGCGCATCTCAACTACATCTGCCTGCCATAAATCGTCACGACCACGCACGACGACTCGACGTCGTGGAAAGTTTCTCCGCGCGGGTGCGTGAAGCTCCTCCGCGACTCTCCGTTTCTCGACACTCATCACTTGACGTTATAACATTTACGCGTGTCTTTTAAATAATCCTCTCCTATCATTTTCACGTTAATCACGTCTGTTTTGTATCGTGCGAGACTTTGATTTACCAACATGTTATCCAATTCATACGTTCCTTATTACTGTTGCTCAATCAACGATTCAATTTATGATAAATCCAGCCTCGCGAAGTTCCTCGAGTATCGACAGTATTTCGTTGTCGTGAGCGTTATTGCCAGCTGTACGAGAGGCATCGAGCAACTGAAGACGGTCCACCAACTCATTCGGATCGTCCCAATGAACGTAATCGACTTTGTCGTCGGTAACTCTCATAGTCGTCGGTACACCTGCACCCAAACTCATAGTTCGGTGTGCAGATACGAGTGGACCGATAATATACTTATATTTGTATCCCTTGTTACTTTTGACAGGCATTTCAGCGTTATGACGACGTCTATGTGCATTCGTTGTCAACAGTATACTCTTGTACGTTTGCTTATCGTTCTCGGTGTAGATGTCGTCGTCGGGAAGTCTCTTGAAAATTAATTCGTACAGACCTGGTGTACCCTTGTATCTGTTTCCATCGATTATTATGGTATCGTCTGTATCCACATCGAATTTTTTATCACCCATCATTGTACCGTTCTCATCGAAATAAACACCGTACACGAGATCGATTTCATTTCTCTTGTCACCACTCAGAAGAGCATTGATGTATATGTGTCCTAACGGTCCTAGCTGACTGTTTAATCTATCGCGACCCTGAGGTGTACTTAGAACTTCTCTAACAGACGTTTCGAGAGATGGATCAGTACCGTTGGAGGTTTCAAAAACTTCCTCATCCTGTGTCGAGGGGAAATGGTGTTGCGAATCTATCGACTTTGACATAACGTTCGACGACTGTTCTTTTAACGGAGATCGATTTTGTTTAATTTTCTTGGAAATTACATCATCATTATCATCGTCATCGTCATTGTCACTGTGCTCACGTTTACCTTTCAACGTTTTCACTTTCACGACATCCCTAATTTTCGACGATTTGTCTCGCTCGGTGATATCAACAATTTGTCTCAACGGTTCTACGATCGGTTTGAATTTTTTCTCCAGGGCAATTTCGCTCTCCATTATGCCCGTTTTCAACGCTCTGTGTTTCTTACGAATCGACTCACGTGTTTTCGCAATCAATTTTGCGGTTCGCTCACGTTCGGCGATGTTCTTCGTATCGTTCATATCGTTGCGACGTCACAATAGACACTGCACGATTCACAGTATCGCGAAATCGTCGAAGCCACGTCTGTACCTACCGTTATGTAACGCACTGTCCTTGTCGATAACTACGAAGCCGTATTTGCGTTGCCAACACAGATGACACAGCGTGCAAAATTTTTCATAAGACATATCGGTATTCACGTGATCGTTGTAAATGTGTTTCAGATTGGTACCATCTTGTTTGAATAGAATTAGAAAATTCGCATTGTCGCGTATGAGATGCTTTGGTATTTTCGCGTATGTTTGACAGAGATAAAAACAATCGATACTCGCATGTCGACCCATAGCGAAGTATTCCCTGATAGTATTCTGCTTGTCGCAGGCTACGTCGTCGAATACGAAAATCGAGTTCGGAAGCGCTTCGCCAGGTGGAATAACGTCGCCATTATTAGAGAACGCGTAGTAACCAATATCATCGATCGATTCTAGCAGCTCCTCGAGATATCGATATTTAGGTTGAGACAAAGATTTCGAGTAAACGTAAACATTTTCGAAACGTAGACCGTGTGGACTCTCTATCAAACTTAACAAAATATTCGTTTTACCGCAATTGGAGGGTCCGCAGATGATGCAACGAATCGTACTAGGTAGCGCAGAGCCGTGTCTGCACTTATCTCTGACAGTTTCACGCGACATCAGTCGCGTCTTCCGATCGAGATTCGATACTCCTATCGTTCGAGATTGTCGCACGAATCGCATTTGTCGCTCTCGTGACGCGCGTGCGCGGACTTCGATGCGACACGGGAGAGTCTCGTGCTATTTATACCGCGAACAGACGAGCATTTCACACAGTTTGTCATCTATTGTGACTAGTAATCGTTCAAAAATGTTTATCCTGATAACAGAAAAACGTGACATTCTCGCTTTTACCGCCGAACAACTGCAGTACATACCAAGAATCGTTTTTCTGTGAGATTTTGAAAATTATATAGAACAGTTGTGGGATCGATTACCCGATCATATAAAAGCCGATACTGAGGTGAAACGTTGTCGTACGTGTTTCGAGCATTACAATCTTCCGGATCAACAAACGCATATAGACGGTCCACCGCCTCTTATCAAGAATTGTGTCCAATGTCTCACAGATATGCAAAAAACGAAATGATATCTGCGCACGGCGAGGGTTTACTGAACGCAACGATAAACGCGCTTCCATTTGAATTACATATACCTGGATATCAATTTTGCGGACCTGGCACGCGACTCGCGAAACGATTAGCTCGCGGCGATCGAGGCATCAATCAATTAGACGCAGCTTGTCGCGAACACGATATCGCGTATTCGCAAAGCAAAGACCTAGCCAGTCGACACATTGCTGATCGAGCTCTCGCCGAGAGAGCACGACAGCGTATTACAGCAAGCGATTCGACGTTCGGTGAGAAAGCCGCCGCGACAGCCGTGTGGGCAGCCATGAAGGCGAAGACAAAATTGGGCATGGGTGTGAAGAGGAGGAAAAAGTCGAAGAGGATTTTATCTGTAGCGAAACGCGGTGGTTTCCTACCGATTTTACCAGTGTTGGGAGCGCTCGGGTCTTTGATCGGAGGAGCAGCTAGCGTGGCGAAAGCGGTGGGTGATCGTAAAGCCGCTCGACGACAACTCGAAGAATTGCAACGTCATAATCGCGCGATGGAGGGTCGCGGTCTGCACATTGCACCATACAAACGCGGCGGTCGTGTGAGGAAGAGGTCGAAGAAGGTAAAAAAAAAACATGGAAGAAAACGATAGAAACTCTTAGATTACCGATCTCTGGCACCACAACGAACGAGCAATTGAGTCGTTCGGCGTATCTTTTAAAATTACCGTTCTTCAGAGGTGTATTCATGCGCGATGCGATACCCGCGAAATCACGTCGTAACGAGTGCGGTATCGTGAACCTCGACGATTCGACAGCCCCCGGTACACACTGGGTCGCTTACGCGAAGAGGGGAGACGAGGCTGTCTACTTCGACAGTTTCGGTAATCTCAGACCACCGAGGGAACTCGAACGATATCTCGGAGGTAACATTACGTACAACAGACGATCATATCAGTCGTACGATCAAAGCATTTGCGGTCAGTTGTGTCTGCGATTTCTCTGGGAGATCGATTGGAAGAGGAAGAAGCTCCTCGCGTGATATATTGCACAGCGATCCGAACAGTCCTGCGGTAACTTTCGTGCTACGATCATGTCGTTGACTCTCACACTAACGGGAAGAAACAGTGTCCTCGCGGCGAATTATTTCCCCGCTTTGGACTTGAGCGATAGCGAATACGAATTGGGTCTTACGAATTTCGAAACGTACAACACGATACCGAACGTCACCTCCTCGAATAATAAATTCCACTTCGACACAGACAACATTACGATCACGATTCCCGTAGGTTCGTACGAATTGAATGATATCGAAAAGTATCTGAGGACCGCTATAGTTCACAATACATTACCGAGTACTATCAACAACGACGAACTCGAAGAATTCGACGAGATAGATCTAATATACGAGGACGAAAAAACTATGGAACGGGCGAAATCTGTATTGATTCTTTGCGCGAACGAAAACACCATGAGAAGTGAGATCAAGTGTGAATATCTAGTGGATTTTTCCAAAACGAACAGTATCGGTTCATTGTTGGGCTTTTCGACGTCTCGCGTGTTACGACCGAACAAGTGGTATGCGTCGGACGAACTGGTTAAAATTATGAACGTGAATATAATTCGTGTTGAGTGTAACATTACCTCGGGTGCGTACAACAACGACAGACCGGCACATACGATACACGAATTCGCAGTGAACGTTCCTCCAGGATATAAACTATCCGTTACTCCAACGCACGTCATTTATCTCCCGGTCATCGCACGAAACATTACCGATATAACGATACGTGTAGTGGATCAGAACGGACAGTTGATCGACTTTCGCGGCGAAGAGATATCGATTCGACTTCACATACGACGTAGACGTTAGGGGATACTATGTTCGAAGGCGGAAGATGCTCGTCTTGAACGATTCGTACGACGGAGTGAACGCATCGCAAACGTCGACATTGTGGCAACCGTTCAAAAATCGATACGATCGAACGAAAAGACGAAAAAAAGGAGGTCGATTGAACGCCACAAACGTCGCCTTTCTACGATCTCTCGGATTCGTGAGAAATGAATCGTGATATCCTGAAGATCGGAGGTGCTCCGATCTTCGACGATCGCATCGTTAAAATAGAGACTCACACTTACAATCCGTACGCTAATACTACATTCGGATACAGCGATGAAATACGGATACCGATTCAACATCAGGATCTCTACACGTTACCGTGCGAAAGTTTGCTCTACATCGAGGGAAAGTTCATTGTGCGAAGGAAGGAAGGAAGTACCAACTGTCCACCGAGACTGTCGAATAATTGCGTCGCATTCATGTTCGACGAGATTCGCTACGAATTAGACGGAGTGGAAACTGACAGAAACAGAAACGTTGGTATTACGAGCACAGTTAAAAATTACGTTTCGTTGACAGTTGACAGAAGCAGAACGTTGGAGAATGCCGGATGGCAGCTTACATTAGGTCTAGACGCATTATTAACAAGTCGATCGATAACTGAAGATTTTAACTTTAGCGTACCGCTTAACATACTTCTGGGATTTTGCGAGGATTACAAACGTATAGTGATAAACGCCCGACATGAACTAGTCCTGATACGTGCGCGTAACGACAACAATTGCGTTATCGCGAGCAACGCAGACGACTATACATTCACGTTATCGAAAGTGCAATGGAAGATGCCACACGTGGTACTGAACGACGTCAACAAATTGTCACTTCTGCGAACGTCGGAAAACGGACGGTATCTCAGCATGGGATTTCGATCTTGGGATTTGTACGAGTTTCCTCTACTTCAGAGCACGACCAAACATTCGTGGGCTGTGAAGACAACGTCACATTTGGAAAAACCGCGTTACGTGATCTTTTCGCTTCAAACTGGAAAGCGAAACGTATTCTCTAAGGATACCACTCATTTCGACGCGTGTGCTCTAGTAAACGTAAAACTATTTTTGAACTCTGATTTTTTCCCGTACGATGATATGAATTTGGATTTCGAACGTAATAAAATCGCAATACTATACGACATGTATGCAAAATTTGCGAAATCATACTACGGCCACGAAACATACGAAGCTTTGTTGTCCGTCGCGCAATTTGTTTCAGCCGCGCCGCTCGTGGTGATCGATTGCTCTCGTCAAAACGAATCTGTGAAAAGCGCTACCGTGGACATTCGTATCGAATTCGAATGTAGGGAAAATATTCCATCGGGCACCACGGCCTATTGTCTAATTATTCATGACAGAATAATAGAGTACAATCCATTGACAAATGTCGTTCGTAAGATTATATAACGATACACGTGATTATGTTTTTCTCAACTCAATTTAGACGATTCCATATGGTAATGTAAGTTTTCCCTGTATCTTTACAAAAATAAACTATATTTAAAAAGAAAAAAAATGCACCACGTTCATTGACACTCTTATCTCCTCGTTTCCTGTATCTATTTTTAGACACTCTTATCTCCTCGTTTGCATTTGTCTTGTAACCGTACTTTTGAGTGTCGGCACAACTTCGTCGCGTCCTCCAAAAGAAATCTAATTATGCGAAAGCTCTTAGTTAGAATACGAAATACTTAAAGGAGCAATAGTGCGGTTCTTCATTAATTCTTTCGTGATTCGAGAATTTACAGTAGTGGACAAGTTACTTTACTCAGCAAAGATCTTAATCGCTATCAAAAATTCGTTGGGCGCCAGGCACGAGAGAGCGTGCCACTCTTCGCACAAATCGTTAGATAAATTACTCGGACAAGAAATTAAAGATTACGCGGATTCTCGCGACGGAACTAAACAATTAGCTCAGCCAACGGAATTGGCAGAGGGGAGTGGTTCGCGGTTAGCGGGGAAATTGTCGGAGAACGATGGAGAGACTGAAATAAAAGCACCAGAATTAATAATAACAATAAAGAGAAATCAATATATTTAATAGAGACTGTACAAAAGTGTTCGAAAGAAAGTACGTTACAGCGTTGACCTTCCGCGCTCTGATATGCGGCGCAATAACAATAAACCGACTATTAACTGGCCGTCGACAACGAAGTAAATTCGGCAATAATTCGCCGAGCAGAAATATGCGACCAAATCTAGATCTTATTATGTTAACAATAATTACTTCGTGAATAATTAGAACATACGATTTTACATTAGACGGCAACGGTTCTCTAATGCGCAATAACGCCAGTCTCGGCTTTAAAGAATTCTCAACAATTAACAATTACACAAGTGACTTGGCGGCAACGAGGGCGAGCAACAACAATAATTATACTTCTCAATAATCTCAGCGTCCGAGCGAATGGCACGCGCCTACGGCAACGATTACTTTAAAACGCCTTGAGGCGGTGAATACGACATCGGGAACTCTAACACGAAATACCGAGTAACGCGCGATCCACTCGAGACGCATTTCACATACCGCGATCGGTGGTTTTACACAAATTATAAGATAACGCTCGCCTCACCACGTAACGATCCCTCGTTGATCCTTCAGAGGAAAACCTCCGCCTCTAAATTTCTCGGCAACGATAGACAGCATTCTCAGTTCCCAAAAGCTCCGGAGATCCCGTGTCCTCTTTACATGAACTCGATCACCGCGCAAGTGATAATTGGGAGCATTCGCGGATCCACGCAGGCCGCTAGGCCCCTCTCCTATCGGGCCGCTCTTTATTCTAATTGGCTTGTTGCTGTCGCGCAACCCCGCGACCAATTACAGTGAGTCCTGCGGGTTGCGTATCCTTAGAGTGTTCGGCGCGCTTTTCCAAATTAGCTGGCCGAGGCTTTCCGTCTTGATCAGCGGTCTTCTATCGCTCTCCTCAGAAGTGGAGGCGGCTGCCGATGTTCGGGCCGTGCTGAGACGGTCCCTTATTACGTCTCTCTCCGAGTCGTCTGCAATAAAGGTGCGACAATCACCAAATAATATCAAAATTATCAGAAGTTACAAAACAATACGACCTGCGTGTACCGCGCTCCTCGAGGACACAATCGGGATCTTCTTCGGTGGTTTCTTGCTTCCTCCACGACGTCTTCTTTCTTCCTTCCGTAAGTGAGGCGGCAACATTATACGAATCTAAGATAACCACCGCTCACGTTCTAATGTGACTAATAATCGTTCTTTAAAAATCTGAAATTACTAAATATTTTATATAAAAGAATATACAAAACGAAACAAAGGATAGAAATTTGGCACGCTCGCTTGTGCCCTCGCCCTTCGAGTTTAGAGGACACAGGATCTCCGTGCAAATGCACTCGCGAGTGACGGACACAAAGTGTCACGTCACAGTCTATTTTTAGACAAAACATACCACTCCTCTCTCCGCACTCGCAGTATGCGATTAATAGTCGAACCGTACGTTTCCGCTGTACACGTACGCCGCGATGTCTCTCGCTTTCCTCGTCGCTTTCCTTTCCGTAACGATATCCGCGTCGACGCCGACGATACAAAATTTAGTAAACGTCGAGGTGATAGAATATTTGCAGAAATATGGTTACCTGAACGAGGTGGACGTAACCACTCACACGTCGATCGAAGATGAAAAAATTAAACAGGCTATCGCATTATTCCAAGAATACTATCAAATACCAGGTAACGGTGCGTTGAACGATAATACATTACATCAAATGCGACAACCGCGATGCGGGTTACCGGATATGTCACACCAGGAACAAAATAGTGTTGTAGCGAAATGGAGAAAAACGCATCTTACGTGGAACTTCCACTTGGCAGACGCAGATACATTGAAAACTACGGCACACGCATGGCTTCTTCGTATGGGAAGCGAACACATCTCTAACATTTGAACGTCAAACGTTAAATCCAGACATTTTAATATCGTACCGCGAAGGATTTCATACATACGTCGATAGCAGACGCAATGAGATCTATTCCGGTTTGTTCGACGGACCTGGTGGAGTACTCGGACACGCGTTTGCACCTACGAACGATCTCGTGCAAACCACAGAGATGCACATAGACGGATCGGAACATTGGCATATATATTTAAACGAAAATGTACCAGACAACAAAGTGCATTTGCTTTACACGTTAACGCACGAGATCGGACATTCATTGGGAATGTCGCACAGTACATATAGAGATTCCATAATGTTTCTTTACGTCACCAATAATACCGTTAAACTCAGCCTAGAGGACAGTTTAGCTATTCAACGTCTGTACGGAATAAAAAAACCTAATGTAGTGCCGAGTACACGATCACCACCGGTAACAACTAACACAACGAAAACAACATCAAACAAAAGAGATCTGTGCGATCTACAGTACGTAGACAATGTACTGGTGTTGAATCATCGCATTTTCGTTACCTATCGAAACACCATGTGGATGATAGACGTTAACGGTAAGAGGTATAAAGGACCAATCGCGCTAAACGATTACCTTCGTTTTCTTCCGGCGAATGTGAAACGCTGCGTATCAACGACCATCTGGAAAAATTGTAATATTCGTGGATAATCAAATTTACATGATAGACTATCTGAGTTTACGATTGAAGGACGGTTGGCCGAAACGACCTAAAGTTACCCACGAACATGCACGTTAACGCAGCATTGGTCACCAATAGAGGACAAACGTACGTGATCTTCAATGACGATAGCGTAGCGTTACTGAACGAATGCGATATGACCGTTAACGGATATCACACGTTACAGTCGATATTTCCAGGAATACCGCCATCTCCTACTCTAGCCTTCCGATATATCGACGGTTCTCTTTATTTCCTACACAGACGTCAATATTACAAATTTAACGAATTCACCAGAACGGTAACGAATGCTGATAAATTCGACATGAAAATACTCAACGTTAATTGTCCCACAGACGGATTACTCAAGCAATTGCAGGATCTTCTTACTCGACTGCTCCAATCAAGTAATTCACTCACAAGCACCGCGTTGGATACAGAGGACGATTAACACGACGTTTTATGTAAAAAAAAATATATATCACTTAGATAGGTACGCAGAAGGTCAGTGTGAAAGAACGAATCGTTCGAATAACATCGTGAGAGAGACATGTACGCGATTTCAAACGACACCCACGACGACACTCGACATCTCATGGAGCGTACCAATGGGAAAAAGGAGAAAAAATCCAACGAAACGAACAATCGAAAAAGACGATATGACGATATGGAAAACGGAACAGATACGTAGGTATTATTTTTTATTACATTTTTTCTTATCTAATTATTTTTTTCTTTCGTTGCAGAACCAAAGTAGTACGCATCTTGGAAAGAAGATATCCTTTGTTACAGGATACAAGTATCTGACCGTCGGTATCGACGTTAAATTGTCCTCCGTGGTGACTATCGTTCTTGGAGACTGTCACGGCAAGGAGATGTCCCTCTCACCGACCGTAGGAGCGTACCAATGGGAAAAAGGAGAAAAAATCCAACGAAACGAACAATCGAAAAAGACGATATGACGATATGGAAAACGGAACAGATACGTAGGTATTATTTTTTATTACATTTTTTCTTATCTAATTATTTTTTTCTTTCGTTGCAGAACCAAAGTAGTACGCATCTTGGAAAGAAGATATCCTTTGTTACAGGATACAAGTATCTGACCGTCGGTATCGACGTTAAATTGTCCTCCGTGGTGACTATCGTTCTTGGAGACTGTCACGGCAAGGAGATGTCCCTCTCACCGACCGTATGGAGCGAGCTCGTTGAAAAAAAAAAGTCATATTACCGCTTTTGCAATACGAAGAAACCAAAGGAAAACGCACGCCACCGCCGATGTACATCGGAGACGTGACATTGCGTTTCGGTCGAATTAACAGTATACCGATGTTACGTCTGGATTCATCGTCGTCTAAAGTGACGACTTATCCAAAAGCACCGTTCTCAATTTGTTCAATCTCGAATATTGCGTCAATCGTCTTATTTCCTCGTTCAACGCTGTAACTGATACCATCGATAAAAAAAATTACGCGATGATAAAACACCGCAGACGAATATTATAGACCGATTATGCAATGTTACTTATGATTAAGTGGTAAAAATTCTCAAGACAGCGTATCTCATCGTTCGACCTTACAATTAGTCGTAACATTCAACGCGACCTTTTGACTCGAGATTACGAGAGCATCGCACTCGCGCGTTTTCCGGCGCGCGACGTCGAATAAATTGATTGATATATTAGTATAAATAATAAAACAACAAATATTCTGAAAAATGAATGAATGATTTCAAGGGTGATATGAATCAAAGGTACTCTTTTAAATAATAAAACATTTAATTAGTCACTACTTAATTTAGACATTATAATTATCATTTATAAGTAAAAGGTTTTTATCATCGTTTCAGAGATGATATACGTATACGACTTTTCAATCGTGTGTAAATATAATGTCAATTTTCTACGAAGACTCGCAGGAATAAATGAATACTGTACGAATGATCTTTTCGACGACAAAACGTGTAACACATTTATATTTATTATCTACTTTCTTTATTTTGTTTTTTATTATCTTGTTTTAAAGACGAACTATTGTTAAGCGATGTCTAAATTAAGTATTGACTAATTAAAGGAATAAGATAAATCATGTAAAATAAATAAATATCTTTTCACTCAATATGCCACCAGATGTGACCTCTTGTATTTACGATTTATTTCCTTCGACTATTTCGCAATTTCCACAAAATCTCGTTCAAAGTGTCGTCGCGACATGTATTTTTTCATGGTTTTCCGATAACTTTACAATTTATTTCCTTAGACTTTTCGCAATTTCCGCAAAATCTCGTTCAAAGTGTCATCGCGACATGTATTTTTTCACGTTTTTCCGACAAAAATTACACATCGCGCTATGCGATTTTCGCTATTTTTTTCCATCTTTCGACTATTTAAATAGATTGAATCAAATCATATTTGTGCATTAACGATCTGAACGGTTGCGTGTTTTTGTGAATGTCTAAACTACTTGCGCGTACGTAACATCAAACATCATGCATTTACTGGATCCGATTAAAATATTCGAAAACGAGGAAGAGGAGGAGGAGGTGAAGATTATAGTGGAGGTTGTAGTGGAGGATGTTGAGATGGAGGATGAAGAGTACGAGGACTACAACGCTGACGAGGAGGAGAAGGATGATCCTCCTCATGCAACCTCTGCTACATCCCCTTCTACACCCTCTCTTGTAGAGGATGAAGAAGAGGAGAACGAGGAGAAAGAGAACGATCTTCCTCCCATGAATTTCAACGAGGTCGACCCAGACGACGTCATTCAATTTGTGATGGACCTCCTGCAGGTGGATGATGTGGAGGAGTTATGCCTCCTCCTCATCTGCCTGCTGGACGAGGAAGCTGAATAGGTTAGTTTATAATATACTACGTATAAATATCAACAATGCATTATTAATGTATGTTAACAATTAAATAATGTTGCAATTGAGATGAGAAAATACTGATACTAAGTTTTAGCCTTGATAGAAACGAATGACAAAAATTATTTTTTTTAAATAGATATTCTATCTTCATGAAATTATTAAAAAGTATTTTTATCTTTATTATTTACTTGTTCTTATATATTAGCCCAGTAAAATGGGAGGAAATTTATCGATTTGGTAGAAATAATGGTTACAGGTCTGCAAATTTGGGAACAAGCTTATTTTGTGCTCCCTTTGAAGTGTTCAAAAGTCCTCACCCCTACCCCCCCTCTGAGAGAAATGGGGGGAGAAAAAGTGGTCCAAAAATTAGTTTTTCGAAAATAACTCAAAAAGTATCAATTTTATCAAAAACAAAAACGTTAAAAAAGTTGTAGCTGACAAAATTCCGCACATTTTCTTTTTTTATTTGCCTCTCTACGACCAATAGAAGCCGAGATATATTTTTTTTAAATTTCGCCTTTTTTGAGGCAAAACGATTACGCGTACGCGCGTCGCGCGTTTATCGCTTACATCTCGAGAATGGTCATTCGTATCGAAAAATGTTTCAAATAAAAGTTGTAGAGGATTTAATTACGAACAATTTCCTTTTTTAAACATTTCCGTACGATTAATATTGACAGCGATATGATTTTTTTTAACGAGCGATAAGTGATAATAAGAGGACGTATAGCGGTGAAATTTAATAATAAGAAAAAATGGATAATATGCAGCTGATATGGATTAGGAAATATGATAAGGCATTAGTAAATTATTTACATTAATATTTACAATTAAAATTATTATTAAAATTCTTAGTTAATCCGTTGTCTAACAATATGATTTCAAGATCTTTGCGTTACATTAAAAAATAAGGGATATTTGTGGAGAATAAAAGTTAAAAATATTGAAATATGTTAAAATGAAAGTACAATAAATTACGATAAAAATTATTCTTTTTTTTTCACGACACTGATACGAAATAATTACAACGTGACATTGTGTTCTTCTTCTATTTGGTCATTCCCTTCAATGTCATCGTTGTCGTCAAACTCCTCAC